TAGTAGTAGTAGTAGTAGTAGTAGTAGTAGTAGTAGTAGGGGGTCGTTGTAATAGTAGTCGTAGTCGTCGTCGTAGTTGTGACTGTAGTAGTGGTAGTAGTAGTAGTAATCGTAGTAGTAGTAGTAGTAGTAGTAGTAGTAGTCGTAGTAGTCGTACTCGTAGCAGTAGTAGTAAACGTAGTAGTAGTAGTAGTAGTAGTAGTAGTAGTAGCAATAGTAGTAGTAGTAGTAGTAGTAGTAGTAGTAGTGGTAGTAGTACTAGTAGTAGTAGTAGTAGTAGTAGGAGTAGGTGTAGCCGTGGTGGTAAACAAATAGTAGTCGTAGTCGTAGTCGTAGTAGTAGTAGCAGTAGTAGTAGTAGTAGTCGTAGTGGTAGTATTGGTAGTAGTTGCAATCGAAGTATAACTGGTAAGCGTAGTAATAGTACTATGAGTAGTCATAATAGTAGTAGTAGTATGCGTAGTCGTAGTCGCCGTCGTAGTAGTAGTAGTAGTGGTAGTAGTAGTAATAGTAGCCGTGATAGTCGTAGTGTTAGTATTAGTAGTAGTAGTAGTATGAGAGATAGTGGTAGTAGGGGTTGTACCCGTAGGCGTAGTAGTCGTAGTAGTAGTCGTAGTATTAGGGGTGGTAGTCCTAGTTGTAGTCATAGTAGTATTAGCCGTAGTCGTAGTAGTCGTAGGAATAGTAGTAGTCGGCGTAGCAGTAGTAGTACTAGCAGTACAAGCAATACAAATAAAACAACAACAACAATACCAACACTACTAGTAGTAGGAGTCGTAATGGTAGTAGCAGTATTAGCTGCAATATCCGTCGTAGTAGTAGAAGTAGTAGTCGTATTCGAAATAATTGTCGGGGTAGTAGTAGTAGTAGTAGTAGTAGTAGTAGTAGTAGTAGTAGTAGTAGTATTAGTAGTACTAGTCGTAGTAGTAGTAGTAGTAGTAGTAGTAGTAGTAGTAGTAGTGGTAGTAGCAACAGTATACGCAGTAGTAATAATAGTAGTAGTCGTAGTAGTCGTAGTAGTAGTAGTAGCAGTAGTAGTAGTTGTAGTACTTTCAGCAGTAGTAGTAGTAGTAGTAGTAGTAGTAGTAGTAGTGATGCTAGTAGTAGTAGTAGTAGTAGTAGTAGTAGTAGTAGTAGTAGTAATAGTAGTAGTAGTAGTAGTAGTAGTAGTAACAGTGGTAGTAGTAGCAAGAGTAGTAGTACACGTAGTAGTAGCTTTCGTAGTAGTAGTAGTCGTAGTAGTAGTAGTAGTAGTGGTAGCAATGGTAGTCGTAGTAGCAGTAGTAGTAGCAGTCGCAGTAGTAGTAGTAGCAGTAGTAGTAGTAGTAGTAGTCGTCGTCGTAGTAGTAATAGTAGTAATAGTAGTAGTAGTAGTAGTAGTAGTAGTAGTAGTAGTAGTGGTAGTAGCAGCAGTAGTAGTAGTCGTATGGGAAGTTGTTGTAAGTGTTGTGCTTGTAATCGCAGTCGTAGTAATAGTTGTAGTCGTAGTCGTATTAGCAGATGCAGTAATCGTAAACGGAGTAACAGTACTAGTAGTAGTAGTAGTAGTAGTAGTAGTAGTAGTAGTGGTAGTAGTAGTATTAGTAGTAGAAGTAGTAGCAGTAGTAGTAGTAGTAATCACAGTAGTAGTAGAACTAGTAGTAGTAGTCGTAGTAGTAGCAGTAATAGTAGTAGCACCAGCAGTAGCAGTAGCACGAGTAATACTAGGAGTAGCAGTAAACGTAGTCACAGAATTCGTAGTAGTAGTAGTAGTAGTAGTAGTAGTAAAAGTAGTGGTGGTAGCCGTGGTAGTCGCAATGGTTAGTAGTAGCAGTCGTAGTAGAAGTAATGGTAGTAAGCGTATCAGTCGCAGTCGCAATAGCAGTCGTAGTCGTATATGTAGCAGTCGTAGCAGTCGTAGTTGTGGCAATCGTAGTAGTAGTAGAAGTAGTAGTACTACTACTAGTAGTAGTCGTAGCAGTAGTAGTAGTAGTAGTAGTAGTAGTAGTAGTAGTAGTAGTAGTAGCAGTAACAGCAGTAGTAGTAGTAGTAGTAGTAGTAGTAGTAGTAGTAGTAGTACTCGTAGTAGTAGTAGTAGTAGTAGTAGTAGTAGTAGTTGTTGTAGTAGTAGTGGTAGTAGTACTCGTACCGGCAGCCGTAGTAGTAGTAGCAGCAGCAGCAGCAGCAGCAGCATCAGCAGTAGTAGTAGTAGTAGTAGTAGTAGTAGTAGTAGTAAATGTAGTAGTAGTAGCAGTAACAGCAGTAGTAGTAGTAGTAGTAGTAGTAGTAGTACTCGTAGTAGTAGTAGTAGTAGTAGTAGTAGTAGTAGTAGTCGCCGTCGAAGTAGCATTACTAGTAGTAGTAGTAGTAGTAGTAGTACTAATACTAGTAGTAGTAGTAGTAGTAGTAGTAGTAGTGATAGTGGCCGTAGTAGTAGTAACAGTAGTTGGAGTAGTACTCGTAGTGATGCTGATAGTAATAGGAATCGCAATCGACATAATAGTTGTAGTAGTAGTCGTCGTAGTACTAGCAGTCGTATTGTTATTATTAGTAGTAGTAGTAGTCGTAGTAGTAGTAGTAGTAGCAGCAGTAGTAGGAGTAGTAGTAGTAGTAGTAGTAGTCGTAGTAGTAGTAGTAGTAGCAGTAGTAGTAGTAGTAGTAGTAGTAGTAGTAGTAGTAGTAGTAGTAGTAGTACTAGTACTAGTACTAGTAGTAGTAGTAGTAGTAGTAGTAGTAGTAGTAGTAGTAGAAATGGTAGTCGTAGTAATAGTAGTAATAGTATTGACGTAGTTTTCACAGCCGTAGCAGTAGCAGTAGCACTAGTAGTCGTAGTAGCAGTAGTAGCAGTGGTCGTAGAAGCCGTACCAGTAGTAGTAGCAATCGTCGTAGCCGTCGTCGTCGTATATGAAACAGCAGTAGCAGTCGTAGTAGTAAATGCAGTAGCAGTGGCAGTCCCAGTGCAAGTAGGAGTAGCAGTAGGCGTGGCAGTAACAGTAACAGTAGTTGTAGTAGTAGTAGTAGAAGAAGTAGTAGTAGTAGTAGTAGTAGTAGTAGTAGTAGTCGTAGTAGTAGTAGTAGTAGTAGTAGTAGTAGTAGTAGTGGTAGTAGTAGTCGTAGCAGCAATAGTAGTAGCAGTCGTAGTAACAAATAATAACACATCGTAGTAGTAGTAGTAGTAGTAGTAGTAGTAGTAGTTGTCGTAGTAGTAACGGGGATACTAGTATTAGTAGTGCCAGTAATAATCATAATCGTAATCGCAAAAGTAGTAGTAGTACTCGTAGTCCTCGTAGAAATACCAATAGTAAAAAGAGTAATACTAATACAGAGAGTAGTCGTACCAGTAGTAGTATTAGTAAAGTAGTAGTCGCCGTCGTAGTACGGGCACTAGTGCCAATATTAGTAGTTGTGGGTATAGTTGTCGTAGCAGGATTAGACGTAGTAGTAGTAGTCGTAGTAGTAGTAGTAGTAATAGTAGTAGTAGTAGTAGTAGTAGTAGTAGTAGTAGTAATAATAGTAGTAGTAGTAGTAGTAGTAGTGGTGGGAGTGGTAGTAGTAGTATGCCGTATCCGTAATGTGCTAGTCGTAGAAGTAGTCGTACCGAAAATATGAACAATAATGATAATCGTAATCGTCGTCAACACTAGTCGTAATAATACTAGTGCTAGTCGTAGTGGTAGTACTGACAATAGTAGTAGTAGTAGTAGTAGTAGTAGCAGCAGTAGTAGTAGAAGTAGTAGTCGTAGTAGTAGTAGTAGTCGTAGTAGTAGTAATAGTAGTAGTCGTCATAGTAATGGTACGCGTAGGAGTAGTAGTACTAGTAGGGAGTAGTTGTAGAAGTCGTCGTAGTAGTCGTACTAGTCGTCGTACCAATAGTAGTAGTTGTAGTAGTAGTAGTAGTAGTAGTAGTAGTAGTAGTAGCCGTAGTAGTAGTAGTAGTAGTAGTAGTAGTAGTAGTAGTAGTAGTACTAGTAGTACTAGTAGTAGTCGTAGTAGGCGTAGTAGTCGTAGTAGTAGTAGTAGTAGTAGTAGTAGTAGTAGTACTAGTACTAGTAGTAGTAGTAGTAGTAGTAGTAGTAGTGGTAGTAATAGTATTAGTAGGAGTAGTAGTGGTAGTAGTAGTGCTAGTACTAGTAGTAGTAGTGGTAGTAGTACTAGTAGTAGTAGTAGTAGTCGTAGTAGTACCAGTAGTAGTAGTAGTAGTAGTAGCACTTGGAATCGTAGGAATAGTCGTAGGTCGTAGTCGTAGCTGTACTAGGCGTAGTCGTAATTGTACTAGGCGCAGAAGTAGTCGTAGTGGTATTAGTAGCAGTAGTAGTAGTAGTAGTAGTAGTAGTAGTAGTACTACTAGTAGTAGTAGTAGTAGTAGTAGTAGTAGTAGTGGTCGTAGCAGTAGTAGTAGTAGTAGTAGTAGTAGTAGTAGTCGTCGTAGTAGTAGTAGTAATAGTGGTGGTAATAGGAGTAGTAGTTGTAGGAGGAGTAAGCATCGTAGTTGTAGTAGTAGTAGTAGTAGTCGCAGTCGTAGTAGTAGTAATAACAATAAAATTAATAGTTGCAGTAATGGTCGCAGCAGTAGTAATGAGGAGTAGTCGTAGTCGTAGTCGTAGTCGTAGTCGTAGTCGTAGTCGTAGTCGTAGTCGTAGTCGTAGTCGTAGTCGTAGTCGTAGTCGTAGTCGTAGTCGTAGTCGTAGTCGTAGTAGTAGTAGTAGTAGTAGTAGTAGTAGTAGTAGTAGTAGTAGTAGTACTAGTAGTAGTAGTAGTAGTAGTAGTAGTAGTAGTAGTAGTAGTAGTAGTAGTAGTAGTAGTGGTCGCATTGGTCACAGTAGTAGGAGGACTAGGAGGAAGAGGAGGAGGACGAGGGAGGAGGGATGAGGGAGGAGGTAGGGACGGCGGGAGGGAAGGAGGGAGGGAGGGAGGAGGAGAAGGGCCCTTCGGGAGGCCCCAGCATGGCGAAACTCATCGACGGCCCTCCTCCTCCTCCTCCTCCTCCCGAAGAGAGGGACATGGGCTCTCATGCGTCCGATCCTCGCTGGTCATGTCGGCGTCGTCTGGGCCCATCTGCCGGCGGATCCCGTGGCGGGGGGGGGCGTCGCTGTAGCCGTCCTCGGCGAGCCCCAAGGAGACCACTCAGGTCGCTGGGGCCCGAGACAGCTCCGTCTCTTTCCTTCTCCCCCTCCCAGTTCTCGCTCCCGCCTCTTATTCCTCCGATTCCTCTTCCTCTGCCACCTCTCCTCCTCATCCTCACCCCTCTCATCTTCCCCTCTTCCTCCTCCCGTCCTCATCCCCCTCGTCCCTCTTCAGCTTCCTCCACCTCTGCCTCCTCCTCCTCGTTCTACCATTCCCGCTCCCCCCCGCTGCTTCTTCTTCTTCTCCTCCTCCTCCTCCTCACCCATCTCCTCTTCCTTCCTCTTCCTCCTCCTCCTCCTCTCCTCCTCCTCCTCCTCCTCCGTCTCCCCCTCATACCTCTTCCTCTTCATCCACCCCTTCCTTCTCGTTCTAGCTCTCCTGCTCCCTCCCCCCATCCTCTTCTACTTCTCCTCCTCCTCTTCCGCCTCCTTCTCGTACTCCCCAAACTCGCCGTCGCTGTGGACGACCCTGGCCCCGAGACCGCCGTCGAGCTCTGACACTGGCGAGCTTGGGATTGGAAGATCTTTGAGGCCAGCAGGTCCTCGCTGTCCATGTCGCGATTGTACTGCCTGGGCTGTGGTGCCGAGGCCCTCCTCCCCAGAGAGGGCGAAACGGATACATGCCCCCCTCCATGCGTCCATCCTCTATCCCTCCCCTCTCCCCTTCCCCTCGGGTCGGACGAAAGGGGGTGGGCAGTAAGGGGGGGCTAACAAATCATCTCACGTACGGTGGGGGCATTGGATAAGGAACCCTCAGATAAGGAATCCAGGGTCTGGAGGCCGGTGGAACTCCAATCGAGGCTTGGCCATGTATATCACCGCCGCCCTCATCAAATAAGGAATCCTCCAGGGTCTGGCGCCTCCTGGGACTATTCCTTAATCAACGCCCCAACCGTAGCTGGTTCTCCGGGCGCCTTCTGGCGCCAGAGGCGCCCGTGTATGGAGGAAAGAGCCCGGCGGTGGGCCGAACCCAAAACCAGCTGCATGCAGCAATTTTCGAAATTCCCCCTCTCCCTACGCCAAGCTCGCGTCGTGTCGACCCTGCCGTTGGCTCCTGACACCAGGGGGATGATTCAAACTTGAACGATCGGCCGTTCCGTGAACGCCGGACCGTTAAACGACGGGCCGATTGTGGGCCACGGGCGGCGTTCAGCCTTAAACGCACGCGCTGGGGTCGCCACCGGTCGGCACGACGCGAACCTGCCGTAAACCCCCTCTTTCGTCCGACTCGACCCTCCTTTCCCTCCCCTCCCCGCCACGACGGCGATGGCGGCGAGGCTGTCCACGCAGCCGCCCCCCATGGGCTGCCCAAGAGCCTCCCGATCGCCCCTCAGACCCCACCAACCCACCCTAGAGCCCCATAACACCTTCTCTTCCTCCTCCTCCTCCTCCTCCTCCTCCTTCTCTTCCTCCTTCTCCTACTCCTCGGAGGAGGTGGAGGACGGTGGGAGGTACAAGGGGGTGGGGTGGGGAGGAAGAGGCTTTTCCTCCCTCCCACCCCCCGTAATTACCCGTAGCTCGGTAATCTTGGAGGGCCAGCGAGTCCGCAGAATGCATCGGACGCTGCAGCCGTTCTGGAGCACTCTGGAGCGCTCCGAAATGCTCCTGCAACGAGGTGTCCGTGCCACGGAACCGCCAGCCTGTCCTTCCTCCTCCCTCCTCCGTCCTGCTCCTCCCGCTGCTCCTCGTCTCCTCCTCCTTCCCCCCCTGTGAGGGCACCCCCACACACTGTAGTGGGGTCGCACAGTGCATGAACATGTGGCGAGGCGTCGGCGTCATCGCACTCTAGAATTAGGTCGGGCATGTCCCCCTACAGGGGGATTTTGGACCAAAAATAAAAAATACCCTCAAACATGAAAACAATGCTCAACAATATTCAACAAATCGTCCCCAGACAATTTTTTGTCATGCTACTTTTGAGTATTCCTCCTGCCATCAGAGGGACAGGCCCGACTTAGCTCTAGAATGCTCCTCCTCCTCCTCCTCCTCCTCCTCCTCCTCCTCCCCAGATCTCCGACGACCCGATCTTCTGGAGCTGCCCGACCCCTGGGGCTCTCGGCCCCTTCCCAGAGGCCGGCTCTCGTCACCCAGAGTGCTGGCTGGATTTGGGTCGGGCCTGTCCCCCCCACAGGGGGGCTTTGGGCGACAAATTTAAGACAGGCAAAGAATAATCAGAGCATGTGCAGAAATACTAGAAAATCGTCCACGGATTACTTTTTGACTATTTTGAAAATTCCTCCTGCAGAGGGTCAGGCCCGACTTAAGGCTGGATGTGTGGAATCTGTGGAGGCCGTGCGCCGGACACACACGCGGAGGGCCCGCGTGCTCTTCCAAGAGAAAGAGCCCATCGCTGACAGAAACATCTCGCCACGTGTGCATCCAACTCTCGGCCAAGCCGGCCGCATCATGTGCATCCAGCTCCCCGCCAGTCTCTCGACGGTCGGTCGGGGCCAGAAGCCGCATCGTGAAAACCTCCTGGCGCGATTCTCCTCGAGTTGCCAAACGCCTGGATTCGGACCCCACCCCCCAAAACCCCAAACTATCATAATAGTACTAATCATAGCAATAACAAGACGAATAACCAAAGGCAGAAACATAAACTTTTGGCGCTCCGCGCGGAGCGCCAAACAATTATGCTTATAACGTCGTTTTCCCCGATCAATGCTTGCACTGAGGGGATCCTAGCGGAAATTGAAACATTTGTCGAAAATGTCCCACCGATCTTGGTGGCCGGCTGGATTCCCGGGGCTTCCCGGTTCTGGGTTCCCGGGTTCTTGGTCGCTGGTTCCGGTCCGATTTCGGTGGGTTCCGGGCTCCCGGTCGATCTCCTCATCGATCTCTTTAGCGATCCCATTTCAAAGCATCCGCTGATTGGGGTTCTTCCCTGGTGTGATGTTCTCCGAGACTTGCCCACCGCCTGGATGCGGAAAAGCCGCCCGAAACAGCTCCGCGTCCCGGGGCCCGTCCACGGAGGCGCTCCGGTCAGCACCCCGAGGCAGCATCCCCGCCGAGAGGCGGCGAAGGCACCCCGCGACCAAGGGGCACACGCCAATGACACCAGAGAGAAACCCCAATCAATGGATGGTTTTCGCTGAGGAGATCGACCGGGAATTGTGGGAGCCCGGGAACCCAGAACCAGCCGAAATCGGCCCGGAACCAATAACCGGGAACCTCAAGATTCCCCAGACGTTTCCCGGGAGTGGGCAGACACAGAGCCCAGGATTCCCCAGATGTTTCCCTCTATCTTCTGGGTTCTCGTCCTTCCCCCCCGCTGCCCATGTCTGCCCACGCTCTCCTGGGAGTCGACGACTACCTGTGCCTGTGTGTTCTTTCTCCTCCTGGTATGAGGCTCCCAAAGAAGCCGAAAGACATGGATAAATACCGGATCCTCGATCCCCCTCCCGCCTCCCCGCCGACATCGGCTCAAAACTGAAGGGCGATTCTGTGTATATCCGGTCCCTGCACCCCTCCCAGCGTCTATCGTGGTTTTCTCCACTACAGCGTGAAGGCGCGTCCACCAAGAGTCCCTCAAACTCGTCCGTGGAACGCGAAGCTCCACTGAGTTTCGGCGGCCTCCTGATGTCCTTCCTGGCGAATGCCTCCTCTCGGATCGACTCTTGACGGTCCCGTGGCCCGAAAGCGGCCTCCAAAGGCCAGCAGTGGCGAAATGTCTCCCCGAAGCCTCGTCGCACAGCCTCGAGCCTCGATCCTCGAAGCTTCGATCCTCGAGCGTCCGAACTTTGACTGGCCAGCTGCCGGACCATGAACACCTCGCCGGCGGGGTGCCTCGCGAGGAGGCGGAGGTGGGCGTCGCCCTCGGCCGCCTCCAGCTCCTCGGGCGGGCGGGCCGAGGAGGGGCGCTCGGGAGCGGGGGGTGGGTGGGCATCATGGCCTGAAGCGCGCGCGCGGGCGAGGCAGAGGAGGGAGGAGGAGGAGGAGGAGGGAGGAGGAGGAGGAGGAGGAGGAGGAGGAGGAGGAGGAGGAGGAGGAGGAGGAGGAGGAGGAGGAGGAGGAGGAGGAGGAGGGGGAGGAGGAGGAGGAGGAGGAGGAGGAGGAGGGGGAGGAGGAGGGGAGGACACGCGCCCTCAGCATGGGTCCCTCACGAGGCCCAGAGGGCACCACGGGCTCCAACATTGAGCGGGAAGCTGGGGGCACCCTTGGCCGGGGGCACCTGCAGCAACCCCCGATGGGTTCCATGGCCCCCTGGTCCTCAGCCTCCTTCTTCGCCGCCCGGGTGGCTCGGGGCGGCGCCACGGCAGCTGGGCGAGCCCCCCCCCGCGCACAGGGAGGAGAGGCGCGGCAGGGGCGTGGCGCAGCGGATCGAGCCAGGGCGCTGCGTTTGCCCGCGTCGCGCCTTACAGCGCAGCGCAGCGGGCTGGGACGTCCCGCGCACGCGCGCGGCCGCGCACGACCGTGCACGGCCCTCGCGGCGTGAAAAGAACGGCCCGCCTGGACGATGGTGGGCAGCGGCGAGCCTGTCGGTCACTCGTTTTTCGCTTCTGGGTGCAGGGGACGTGGACAGCCCCGCGCTGGTTCTCAGCGACGCCAGCGGTGTTTCCGCTGCACAGGAGGCACGCATTCGACGTGTCGGTGTGGCCGTCGTGGGTATGGCGTGTTTCACCTCTCCTCGTGTTGGTGTTGCCATCTCATGTCCTCTCTCTCTGATACTAATCATACTATTCCATGGGGCGATCTGTACGTTTGATACCTAACCATCTGTCACACAGTTGGGCCTGTGGTGTGTGTGTGTGTGTTGCTGATGGTATGGGTGTATGCGAGGGGTGTTGCGAAAGGTTCGATTCTTGACCATGGCGCGAGATCCCGTCTGTTTGGGATCTTACGCGTGCCAAACTTTCACTGGCACAGCGTGGTGAGTCACACATTGCTGTTATAAAAATAGCCTCCCATCAAACTTTTGAGGAGATAGTAACCAAGCACAATTCTAACTCTCTTGCGTTGGGATGTACTGTCGCCGATCTTAGAAAGGGGAAACCGCCGCTGCGTGCCGTCTCCCAAATAATGTACGTACCCAGGTTTCGCGTGTGGACAAGGAGGCACTTCTAACCAGGCGACGGTTACTTCGAACAGCTCCTGAAAGTTGCCAGCAAGGCATATCAGAGCAAGTCACTGCCCGAAGGGCGAGGCTGGCAAGGCCTTCCAATCCCGCCGCCATCGGCAGGGCTGTGCCTCCTCCACCACCTCCTCTTCCTCCTTCTCCTCCTCCTCCTCCTCCTCTTCCCTCCTCCTCCTCCTCCTCCTCCTCCTCCTCCTCCTCCTCCTCCTCCCCCTGATGCTGCTGCTCCTCCTCCTCCTCCTTCTCCTCCACTTCTCCAGCTCCTCCTCCTCCTCCTCGTTCCTCACCTGTCACGCTTCCAATTTTTCTACTGTGCTCACATCCTCGGGGAATGAGGCAATACGTGTATGCGTTGTATGGGGGTCCGCCTCAGACCATGTCGCCACCGAGTGGCGTCTGACCCCCTTTTTGAGCTCCTGCATGGCGATACGCATGTCTTGCATCTCACGCCTGGGCAGCCCTTGCTTTGCAGGGAGTGTGTCGGCGGCCTCGATCATAAGATGTCCCTATCAGGACTGCCTCGACATCTGGTTTTGCTCGTCCTGCGGGTTTTCACATAGTTTGCTGTCAGCTAATGTTAGCCAGCATGGACCCCTAAGCAATGTTTCTAGCAAGTGCTACCTATGCGGTGCAATCTGACGGGCGGTGACCAGGAGGCGACGGCGACAGCATAGCCTTAGGTCGGGCGTGTCCTCGTACAGGGAGATTTTGGAGGACAAATGTAAAAATAGCCAAACAATGATCAACACATAATCACAACTATTCCAGCAGTGTTACCCCGACTTGTTTAATACAATTTTTGAACATTCCTCCTGTATAAGGACAGGCCCGACTTAAGCATAGCCGCCAAACCGACGGTCAGGCTCAGACGACGAGCGGCGACGGGGCGGCGACGGCGACAACATAGCCGTCAGACCAAAGGCAAGGCCCAGAAGAAGGGCGGTGACCGGGCGGCGAGAGGGACGACACAGCCGCCGGACCGACGGCCAGGCCCAGACGACGGGCGGCGACGAGGCGGCGACGGCGACAGCATAGCCGCCGGACCGACGGTCAGGCTTAGACGACGGGGGGCCGAGGAGGCGGCGGCAGAGCGGCGACGGCGACAGCGTAGCCGCCGGACCGACGGTCCGGCCCAGACGCCACATTGTGATGGCGTCCACTCCACTGCACGCGACCCCATCGATGGGCTCCGCCCTGCTCTGCCCCCCCCTCCCTCCCCCCCCCTTCCCTCCTCCTCCCCATCGGCGGCGAGCGAGGGGGGGGGGGAGGTGAGAAGGAGAGGACCTTCGCAGAAGGCGGCGGGACTTCTCAGAAGCCCTCGCGCCTTCTGAGAAGTCTTTTGTCCGTTTTCAGGGAAGGCTTGGAAAACTTCTCAGAAGGCCGGGGGACTTCCGAACCCTCTGACAAGGCCTTCTCCTTCTCACCTCCCCCCCTCGCTCGCCGCCGACCCACGCATCGACGGCTCCTGCTGGAGCATGGTGTCCTGGCGCTTGGCCATCGACGACCACCGCGAGGCCTGGGCCCGCGCCTCGCTGAGCTCCTGCGCCAACTCCCTGGCGGCGGCGTCGGCCCTCTGCAGCTCCTCCGCCGTCCCCGGGGGCAGCTCGCCGATCCTTTGTAGAGAGCAGACAATCCACCCCCGTGATGAACACCCCGACGCGCGAAGGCGTTTCGTAAAGGTCCCCACAGAGGAGAGGAATCGGACAGGGCAGGGCTGTCTAGTAAACGCCAATTGTCAGGTCCGGATGGTTTTTCTGAGGGGCAACGAGAAGGGGGAATAGGCATGGGGGGGGGAAACATCGACCTGAATCGGCGATACATCGCCGACAGATCGGCGATAGGCCTCCGATAGTGAATCCGCACCTTCCTGGGCAGGTTGGGGCAATCAGGCCCCTATCGGCGCTCAATGGGCGTTTCGGGGTCGATGCATCCCCCCTGATGCCCATCCCCCCCTATCGTTGCCCCCGATTTTCCTCCCTTGGCTTTGGGGGCTGCCGAGTGCGCCCCTGGCCCAAGGCGCCCCCCGGGGCTCCTCGCTCCGCCCAGTAGCCCCTGAGGGCGCTCGGGGCCTCGGAGCTCCTGGGGCCGCCTTGGGCCAAGGACGCCCTCCAAGGGCCTCAGGGACAAACGAACAAACAAGCACACATCCCAGGATTCTCATGTTCTCCACACCTTCTGGATGTGCGCCTTCCCTTCGCTTCCCATGCTCTCCCACATACCTTCTCCTGGGGGTCGACGTGCCATTGTGCCTCTGTGCTCTTTCCCCTTCCGAGCCTTCCCCCTTCTCCGGCGCAGCACGTCTTTGTCCGCGCCGTCGGCCCCCAT